AATAATAAATGACATGAGAAGCAAGGAGACAAATTTAGAATAGGCTAACTGAATGAAAATACTCAAGATTTCTTTTTGTTTATTTCATTTTTTATTATTATTATTTCTTATTTTACATGTCGATACCAGTTCCCTCTCCCTCCCATGCCCCCCACAAACCTCCTCCCATCCCATCGCCAATACTCCTCAGGGAGGGTGATGGGTAATGCCCTCAAGGAGGGATAACTAAAATCTGTCAAGTCATTTGGAGTAGGGTTTAGGCCCTCCCCTCTGCCTCTAGGCTAAGGGAGTATCCCTCCATAGGGAATGTGCTCCCAAAGTCCTTTCATGCACCAGGGATACATCCTGGTGCCACTGTCAAAGGTCCCTTAGTGTGCCCAGGCCTTCTAACTGAGACCAACATTCAGGAGGCCTGAGTTGATATAATGCTGGTTTCCAAGCTATAAGTCTGGGGGTCCATAAGCTCCCCTTTGTTCAGATCAGCTCTCTCTTTGGGTTTCTGTAGCCTACTCATGACCCCTTTTCTTATTACTCCTTCCACTCTGCAACTGGATTCCAGGAGTTCTGCTGTGAATATCTGCTTCTGGTTCCATCAGCTACTAGCTGAGAGCTTTAGACATAGCACAAAGCACCACCTATAATACACACTGCCAGAGAAACTAGGATACAAGGGTGAACCTAAGAAATTCATACAAGTTCCCTCACAGAAGGGGAAAGGAACAAGAGCTCATAAGCATATTGGGAGTGGGGGAGCAGTGAGTGGAGAGGGAGTTAGAAATAGGAGGGAAGGAGAGGAGAATATGTGGGACCAGGTAGATTGACTCAGAGGACAAATAGATGACATAAAGAGAGAGAGAGAGAGAGAGAGAGAGAGAGAGAGAGAGAGAGAGAGAGAAATGCTATAATAGAGGGAGCCATTATAGCTTTAAAGAGAAAACTGACTCTAGAGAAATGTCCAGAGCCAGAGACCTACAAGGATGACCCCAACAAACAATCTGTGAAACAGCAGAAAAGCTACCTTACATGCCCTTCCCTGATAATGAGATGCAAGATTTCTTTTTTCAATTTAACTGACTTTAATCATTTTTATTTTCTTGAGTCTGGAGAGAAAAGAAAGATAAAGATGAATTGTAATACTTAAGAATTTACAAGATTTTAATCTCCATGTCATTTATAAAGCCTTCATTAGCATATTTTCAAAGACTAGACTGTAACATTAATATGAATACCTCTAATTCATCTAATTAAATATATGTTGTGAAATTGAATTCACATACTAATGAAGAAAGATTCTAATATTTAAATTCTTATGCAAAAACTTCACATCTTTAAAATACATATTTTAATACTTATTAATAAAATCATGTCTATAGTCATACTAAAATTACCTTATTCTCTTACATTTAGAACTCTGTTCAGCCCACTTTTCTTTTATACTTTTTTGAAAGATAAAAGAACAATGTACCTTATTTTCCAAGAGAAATAAACTCTTTGAAACTGTCCATCAACTAATAAAACCACCGATTCAATTACTTTTCCAATCTTGAGATTATAAAATGACCTAATTTGTAACTGGCATTATGATAAGGACCTAATAAACTTATAATGACTTGACATTATGGATGAATTTCCACTGAAAATAGAGGGGTTTATGACTTGGATAATTTCTAATCCCAAGGCACATTGGTGAAATGCAACTTGTGTAAAATCCTCCTGATCCTTGCTGTTTTCCAATTATAACTTCAGGTACTAAACACATACACACCAAAAAGAAAAAGAAGAAAACACAAATAACTGAGGGAGTTATTAATACTTTATAAGAAGAAATAAGTGTTTATTGAGTTTATTTTATGCATTATAAATTGCTTTTACATAAATTATTTGCATACTCATATATCATAAGAACATGATGATAAGTAAAAGACTTATTAGTTGGATGTATAGCAGAATAAATCAAACTGCTTTCTAATGAGTTGTATATAAGCATGATTTTGTATAATAGCAAGAGCCCTGATAATGAACATTTGAAATGTAAGTTTTTCATTTCTAATACTTAAGCAATTGTTTTTATCTCACACTGTATCAAAGATAAAGATGTGACTTTAAAAATAAAGCCAACATCATAAATACACATTCACACATATTTCAGCAAATAAATTTTGTATAATGAAAAACAAAACCCTATTGCAAGGCCTTAATCAAACCTAATTACTACAAACCTCTAAGTACCAAAGCCCATCTCCATACTAAAAGGTCATTCAGAAGCCACACAAAGAATTCCTTGGGAAGGAATTTGTAAATGTTCCCTAGAGTTCCAGCTCTAGTCAATGGTGTATGTTTCGTTGTTTCCAAATATTTTCAGAGGTTGGAATTATAAATTTATTATTCTTAAATATAATTGAAAGCTTGCATTCAAAATCTCCTCATATTTGAAATCTTATAAGTCAAAGGCTTAAGGTATTCCTGGCTTTCTAGGATTATTATAAGAACAAAATCATCAATGCCAGAATCCCATACTCAGCAAATACCCTCACATTTTAACTCCCAACTTCACCCTTGTTCTCTTTGCTCAACCTTCTAAAATGGTTTATTAAACTACATTCTCAATTGCTACAATCAAGTTTTTCCTACTTAAAGGAATAATGAATTTAAACATTCTAAATTGAATATTGAGAAGAAGAAAATAAATCATAAACAAAGCAAGTGATATATGAATAAATTTATAGTAGCGATAACAATAATATGACTTGAGTCCTTTTTAGCTTTGGTAAATATACCATGATAAAAAGAATGTTAACGCATAAAAATGGATGAAGGACAAATGTACATTCACTACCAGCTTTAAAATTCCATGTACAACTTAAATTACTCAAACACACTTTTGTTTAAAAACCTAAGTGTTGTGTTCTCTTCAGAAAGAATTCAATTTGTTAATATGAAGAAAAGGGATGAAAAATAGATATAATAGTGTTGCAAAGTGAGAAATTTGTGTTGCAGAAAAAGAATCTCCCTACTTTACCTCATGGATGCAGCTGGCATTCCCTGCCTTTGCATAAAGGTTGGCGATGAAGGAAATTGTTTTACTTTGCATGGCATCTGGTCAGGGGATGACATAAGCTCCAATTTGTTTTTCAGAAAATGGAAACCTGTTCCATTATTGGGTGTGGTCATCAGCAAGGGAAGAGAGGGTGCTAGATGAGCAGTTATAGATCTATTGTAGAAGCGTCAGGCAGAGATTTTATTCTGGTGAAGTAAAAGATAAGGTGAAATAAGTCATGAAGTATGAAAATGAATAGAATATGTTGAAAGGGAGAAAAAAAAGAAAGTGACCCATAGATCGTCATTCAGGATGTTGAGTAGATGTGAGAAAACAATGACTGAAAAAAAAAAAACTATATAAAAAGATGCCATAGGCAAAGGAGCCATAACACAAACAAAATAGCCATTTTGTAAGTCAGATCTGTGTACAATGAATATATATGCAAATTTAAAGGGGAGGAAATACTTAAATAGATGACAAGTTTGAAATAATCAAGGGGAATACTTGAAAAGCACATGAAATCTGAATAATCAGCAGTCAAGATTACAGAAAGTATAGTAAAGTTACATAAATAAGTACTGAGACTACCTAAAATGAAAACATACATTCAAGGGGAAACAGATGAAGGTGTGAATCATAAAAGTACATAACCATGACAGTATTTACTGTGATACTCATTAAGAAGATTATGGCACTAGACTAAAGAATTGATTCCAAAAACAGAATCCTGTAAACAAAATAACAGTTTGTAATAACCCAAAAGAGGGCATCAATTTGAGAGTGAATGTATGTAAGACATGGGAGTCAATGGGGGGCATGGAAGAATGGGAGGAGAGGAAACTGGAATTGATATGTAAGATAACATTGTTTCTAATTAAAATAAGTAAATAATTGCAAACAAATGAAAAAAACAAAAGAGTTAATTCTTGACCCTTCCTAGATAGAATAAGGAATAGATCCATAGAAAAAAGAGAGCCCATTTCCTCCTTGGCTTCTGCATTGCATATGTATGTGTCTGTTTGCACACACACCAACAAAAATCAACATAAGTTTGTTTAAAATTAGATGATCTGTGAGTCTTGTCATGGGCATTATTTACAGTTCCATTTTGGATAAAATAAAGATGGTCAAGTAGTGAATCATGACAAGTTTCACAAGATACTAACAGAATTTTCTTATTACGTATCTTTTTATTTGGGTTTAACTTTTGCTCTACACTTGAGCACAATGTCTCCCTTTCTGAGGATTGTCTGAAGGAGATTTATTTCATAAATAAGGTAAGTATTGCCTGCTACATTTAACAGATATTCTGTTTCACTAGTTACAGAATTGAACTGAGATTCTAGAACAAGACTCATATTCCCTAAAGAATAGTATTTCACCTCAATGTGAATTTCTCACAAGGAAATGGAAACAATGACTACATTTCATTTGGAAATCTACTCATAACTAATACCTTCATTGCACAGGCAATCATTCAGAAGTTGGATGGAAACAGTATGAAACCAGAAGGTCTAAAAGTGGATAGGAAAGGCAAAACTTCTTCAGCTGTTGAAAACTGTATAATGATGATAAGGATAAACATAGTGTTTTTGCATTTTTGTTTTGTTTGGGGGCACTATTTCCCTTTGTAGATCTGGCTGAACTAGATCTCCGTAGGTAGACCAGGCTGACCTTCAGTTCAAAAAATCTTCCTGCCTTCTTTGAGATTACCTTCTCTCTGTCTTTAATTTACACTGTCATTAAAATGAATGTTTTATAGAATAAATATCTTGCCATACAAATTTTAAAATCTGTTTTTCTATGACTAAATTAGGCAAACAGATTCTAAAAGAATTAGACTCTCTTAAACTTATTATATAAAAAGAGAAATGTTCTATATAAAATGTTAATATAATATTTGATATATTATAGGGATAAAATATGACTTTTTCATTAGTAATAATCAATACCTCTAACTATGGATGCTGCAATCACTGCAGTTGAATACCAAGATGATGGAATGGTTATTGACTTTATTGATTCACAACTCTGGATACTCTTTGTGTTACTAGAATTTGAAAATGCTAGGTATGGTATTAAAGTAATGAGATGTCTTTTAATGTTATATCACTTGGAGAAGTAAAATTATTTTAAAACATTTTAGCAGTTTTGAGGAAAACAATGATGGGCTATTCTGTTTTACTGAATACAACAGAGAAAGGATGATTTCAAAGTAGATTCCCCAAATGGTTGTTATGTTTATGTTCTAATTTTAACTGCAGAGCAGCTATTTTTATAACCTAAGTGAGTGAAACATTTTCCTTCCTAAAAGAAGCACAGACAGGTAAATGACACTTACTTCCAAGTTATTTCATGGCATGTAAGTGATAATGACAACTAATTTTACAAATCAAAAACCATTATTTTGAGGTGTAATGTACTTTCTATTTACAATATGCTTATTATTCCTCCTGAGTCTTGTTTTTGTGTTTGTTGAAAAAGGATTACTCTATGCAGTTTGAGCTGTCTTGCTGTGATCCCATTGCTTTTGCTAGCCAAGTGTCAGGTTGCATGCAACTGGGCCCCTAAGCTTCAGAAGTAATATCTACATGTACACCCTCATCACATAAGTCAAGATGACATGAATTGTACAAGCCACTTGCTCAGAACAAGTAAAAAATGTCAATAAATTACTTCATGTATCTATATATTTCAAACTTGATAGTGAAGTCAAAAGAGCCTGTCAAAAGTCCTGAAGTCCTGGTCTATTCACAGAATTTCTTAGTTGCATGTAGGTTTTTTTTTTTTAATAAGGTTGAGGCCTTGTGGGCCTTGTGGCATGTCTGCTGGTGTCGTGCTTGTTCAAATCATGTTTAGGCAGTGGCAGTCATATTGATGATATTTTTGTGGCGGTAGCTTTTGCCATCAATAGTAGAGAAGATCTCTTGCTAAACTCCTTGGCCTTCTGGTTCTTACAATCTTTCGGGCCCCTCTTCTTTCCCCAGGAAGAGCATACCAATTGGTTATCTACTAAATGGTCAGCACTGAAAACATGCATATGACTAACATTACAGGGATTGAGCAGGTTATATGTAGAAACATATGTTTTTAACCATATTTGCACTTAACAGTAATTAAAGGAAAAAAGAGGCTATGCGTTTAGAAGAAAGAGAAAGGAAGAGAGTATGGGGGTAGAGAGATGAAAGAGATGGAAGAAATTATGTAATTATAGTATAGTCTCATAAAAAAAAAAGTTCAGCCTGCCTCAATTCTAACCTCCATTGATCCTGCTTTATATTATATTTGGAGATTGGAAGAAAAGAAATTGTGTCTTCTGACAATTATAAATAATTTTGCCGACATTTTTAAAGCAAATAATCAATGATTTCTTCCAAAATAAGAAGAGAATTTCATTTCACATGACCCTTTTCAGTGTACCTCAAACACTGTTACATTTTGGTATCTAGTACTAATTGTCAACTTGCTTAAGAAGCTTCGAAGAGATGGCCTTGTAGGTGGAAGCATTGATGAGGAGCTAGAGACAGGAGTTATCAACTAGCAAAGAGGAAACTCAAGGACTCATGATGAAACTCCAATATGAAATGAATGGAGTTTAGGAATATGACACCAGATTACTGGAAAAAGCAGCACCAATAGCATAACACTCCTTGCAACAAGTGGGTTCTACAATGCTGCAGATCATATCCACTCAAAAAAGCATGATGTATAAGGAAAAAATGCTGTCTGAAAAAAAAATCTGCCATTTAAACATAATGTATGAAATGAAAAATGACTACATTTCACAAAAGAAAGAGAAAGCATTCTTAAAAGCATTTGCCATCTGGAAGGCAAAGGCTTATTAAATAATTAACTGAGCATTTGGTAAATATAGAATGTCTGCTACACCCAAGCATAAGCATAAAATGATTAGAGAAAAGTTATAATGGCACAAATCCTAGGGCTCTGCTTTCATTGTCTGTAGCAATTAATTAAAGATGCTTACTATTTTTAATTCATATTCCCATTTTACCAATACAGTTGTCTTTAATTCAAGGACTAAATTTCAAGATATTGGCATTGTAATTATTCCTCATATGAAAAATTTACATAATATTCTCAATTTTAAAAAGAAAGGCATACTTAGTATTACAGTCTTACTGAAAGTCCTATCTATTTGATTTTTAAGATATGCCCACACTGTTTTTAAGACTGGAATTATAAGAATCAGAGATATAAAAATTGAAGGCAAAAGTTAACTATAGACAATTACCATTTACATGGAATAAGTTGATTTTATTATTTATTATAATTTATATGCTTGGTCATTACGTGAAAATTTTTCTTCACAGTTAACTGTATTCTCACAGTTAACTGTATTCTTCTGAATTAAGTATATTTCAAATCCAGATAAAAATCTCAATGTACAGAAAATGTATACACTATGTGATTTTTGTCAACTAAAATTATGTTGTAATAAAATCTGATTGCTAGAAAATTTTAGAGAAGTACTCCGTATTAAAATTCAAATAAGTAATGTATTTGTAATCATTTGTAATCAGTTTATCAACACATATCAAAGTGTTATTTTACATCCCAGCCTCAGTCATCCCCCATCCTCCCCTCCCAGTCCCCACCCTCCAATTCCCTCCTCTTAAGTGCCCATCCAAAAAAGGGTAAGTATCCAATGAGTATAAATAAAGCATGACATATCAAGTTGCAGTAAGACTAAGCATCTCCCTATGTATTAAGGCTGGACTAGGCAACCCAGTATGAAAGGTACGGTCCCAAAAGCCAATAAAGGAGTCAGAGACTCTTACAGCTTCACAGGCCATTCATTTTCTTTCTTTTTCAATGACAAAGGGGAAGTTGACTTCCTTCACAATGACATGTGCATAACCTGATCCAATTAATCACAAGTTTAATGTTACTTGTTTTCATTAGACTTTGAAAACCTTACTATTGTTACATTCGACTAGAAATAAGTAAAAACTTCTTACTAAATTCAGGGAAAGTAAGCACCAGATTTCTAAAGTATATACAACTCACCATACTAGTGTGAACATAAAATTCAAATACCTCTCCCATTGATGCCCTTGAATATATGCTAGCTTCATTCTGAGCATAAAAGAAACATCATTCCTTTTTATTTCCCAAGGCCATGACTCTGAGAATCATCAGATACCTCTATCACTTGCTGAGGCTACCTTTTAAATATTTCTGGTCCTGTAGTGCTTATTTATATAAATAATGAAGTTTTTGTTCCCTGGGTTATCCAGCCTATGGACCCTGGTGTTCCAGGCAGGGTGTAATCATGCTCATGGCATGGGTCTCAGACTGGAACAGTCATTGGTTGTCCACTCCTAAAATCTCTACACCACCCTTACCTACCTTTCTAGTACATCCCATAGGCATAACAGACTATAGGATGAAGCTTATGCAACTGGATTGGTATTCCAATCCCTCCACTCCATCCCTCCACCCACCCCCAACCACTCATGCTCCTATCCCTATCTTCCCCTGTCCACTCACAAGATTTCCTCTATTTCCTCTTCCCAGGAGATCCAAGTGTCCTCCTTGGGCCCTCCTTTATACCTAGTCTTTCTGGGTATATGGATTATATCATGGTTATCCTTTACTCTATAACTAATATTCACTTATAAATGAATACATACTATGTTTGTCTCTCTGGTTCTGGGTCACTGCACTAAGAAGGTGGGTTTTTTGTTGTTGTTGTTGTTGTTTTGTCCTAGTTGTATTTGCTTTCACATTTCAAAATGTTGTTGTTTTTAACAGCTAAGTAACACTCCACTGTGTAAATGTACGACATTTTCTTTATCTAATTTTTGGTTAAGGTTCATCTACTTTGTTTCAAGGCTCTGGATATTACAAATAAAGCTGTTATGAAAATAGTTGTGCAAATGTTCTTGAAGTATGAATAATCATCCTTTGGATAAATGCCTAAGAGCAGTATAGCTGGATCTTGAGGTAGATCTAGTCCCAGTTTTCGGAAAACTGCCATATTGCTTTCCAAAGTGTCTGTAAAACTTTTCACTCTTGTCAGCAATGGAGGAGTGTTGCTCTACATCTTCTCCAGCATATTTCTGATCTTAGCTATTCTAGAATGTGTAAAATGAACTCTCAGAGATGTTCTGATTTGCTTTTCCCTCATGGCTATCCACAAATTCACCCCACAGAAAATACTAAAATGAAAACTCCAGCCCAAGGAAGTTAGTTATTGTATAAGTATATATAGATTAAAACAAACTACATGGTCTGAAAAAAATTGTTTCCATTTAAAATATAAGTATAATATAACATTTATATATTACATGTATATTGTAGCATAAGTTTATCTGAATCTTTAAACAAAACTAATAAAGAAGCAAACTTCAAAGATGTTAACATACTTAAAAAGGGAAAAGTGCCACAATATAATTAATTGTTTAAAATGTATGTGCAAGTTGGGGAAAGTAGTACAATACTACACCTAAGCATTCCCTTTACTGAAGGAGCTAGCCTCAGCCAAATAATAACTTTGAAGAAATCTGGTCTATCTACTTATGCCCTGTATCAAAACAATAAAAACAAAGCAAACAAAATTTAAAAGGTAGAAGCATTTAGTTAAAAATACCTTGGAATAATTAAAAGCATACTTAGAAAATATTATAAGTACTTCTTTCATTTTTTAAAATTTTGAAAGCAAGAATCTCTACTTTCTGCTAAGTATAGTATTGATAATAGAGTTGGCATTCTTCCCCCCAAACACTTTGAAATAATATAAAGGAATAAATATCAATAAATCTTCAATTAAGTTATCTATAGTAAGGTCTTAAATTTTAAATGTGACTCTTTTTAAAGAAAAATATTTTACGAACAAAACTGTACAATGAGGCAAGCAAGACAAGACTGTAGATCAAGAACTCACTGGATGCTCATAGTCAATTGGAAAAGGAAAGGTCCAGGAATATTAAAAGGTAGAGGTTGACAGCAATTGTTGGAAATAAGAAAGGCAAATTCCCAGGTGAGAACACCGAGTAGTTTACTAAAAGGATATGTCATATGTACAGATCAATAAGTGAAAAAGATGCATAAT